GAAAAAAAGAAAAGAAATCCGGCAGAAAATTTGACAAACGAAGTGATCGGGCATTTTAAAGAAGAGGAAGCACTGTGTTCAAGTGAACATCTTAAGAGATGCTCAAGTTCATCGGTAGGGAAGGAACAACAGCGACGACCACGGTGGGATGCTATTTTACAGGACATTTAGGGCAAAAAGTAAGCCTGACGGCACCCGGTGTTGGAGAAGAGGTGGGGCCGCTCGATCTCCTGCGCGTCGCAAGCCAGCAGCTCTGCGTAACCACTGGAGAAGACAATCTGGCCTTATCTTATAATGCGGAGGCGCAGCAGATCCCCACCCCCCAGGCATAAAATCAAGAGAGACCTTGGCTTGTGCTCCAGGAGACCTGGGCGGGAACGCTCAACGATGCACTGTTCTTAATAGCAAAACTCTGGGAGGAACCCAAATGTCCACAAAGGAGAGCGGGTAAATAAATGACAGTGGGTTCATCCACACAGCAGTTAAGTCGTTCAGCAGTTAAGCAAGCAAATGAACTAGTTTCATGTCATGCCATGAATGCATCTTAGTACCATACTGTTGAGTGGAAAAGCCAGTCCCAGAAAACAAATACTTACCCTTCCTGTGAAGTTCAAAACCAAGCCAAACCATATCTCTACAAATAGCAATGTTGGTTCCTTCCTTCTAATACTTTTGTTATTAGGAGATGACAAAAGACTCAAGAGTAATACTGAGAAATTATGAGAACCTATAAAAAAAAATAGTTGCTTTACCAGGTATCAAAGGTATACGTAAAAATAATTTGCCTTCCTGCCAGCTATCAATGAATCGTTCAGAATGTGATGAGAAATATCCTATTCAAAATATCTGCAAAAATGTGAGAGATCTTAAACTTACTAATAATTGTGCAGGGCCTATATGAAAACAATGGTAAGAATCACTGAGCAACGTAAAAGAAAACCTTAGAACAACTTTTCTTTTTCTTAGCTTTAAAAAGAGCCAAGGGCCGCCTGGCTGGCTCAGTCGGTGGAGCATGCGACTCTGATCTCAGAGTTGTGAGTTTGAGCCCCACCTTAGGTGTAGAGATTACTTAAAAATAAAATCTTAAAAAAAAAAAAAAAGAGCACCTGGGTGGCTAAGTCGGTTAAGCGTCTGCCTCTTGATTTCAGCTCAGGTCATGATCTTGCGGTTCTGGTTCTGAGAGGGAGCCCTGCTTGGGATTTACTCTCTGCCCCTTCCCTGCTCGCTTTCATGTGCGTGATCTCTCTCTCTCTCTTTCAAAATATATAAATAAACATTAAAAACAAAAACCTTAAAAAAGAAAAAAGCTGATCATCACAAAATTCAGGTCCCCTTAAGAAGGAGGCAGGGAGACAGGATGGGGGCGGGGGTGACAAGTAAGCAAATACATCAGTAAATACATAAATTAAATACAGGAGGGCCTGCAAAGACCCAGATGGCCATGCATCAGACAGGAGTATCTGCCTATGTGCTCCTGAAGGGGAAAGGGAGACATTAAAGTCCTTTGGACTGACTTTTATTCAGGGTATACACAAGAGTTTGTCTTTCTTTCCAGAAGCCCATATGGAACCGGAGGGAAAGGCCTGTGCGTGCAGGGAAGAGGGCTTAAAAAACCCCTAAGACACACAACACTGAAGGCCTGCAGCCTGGACAGATCCAGAAGGTTTCAGTGAGGGAGCAGCCTTATAAAAGGGCTGAATTTCAATCAACAGAAATGGCAGAAGGGGGGAAATATGCCAGGCTGCCAGGGCGTGGGATGCTTATTACAAAAGGGGTTATAAAGGCAGAGAGAACCAGACAGAAAGAAGTGAGGCGTGGCTGTACGTGGGCTGCCCAGGAAGGGTTGTGCTGCGGAGTTGCTAGGGCATCCTCTGGCCAGGGCTCAGGATCTGGAGGAGAAAGCACCCCAGAAACTCACTAGGGAGCAAAGGCTGCTCTAGGAAGGATAACTTGAGAGAAGGTTAAGGTCAGGGGTTCCTGAGAGGCAGATTCAGTATGGAGAGGCTGAGCCCGAGGCAGTTGTAACAGCAGCAGGCCTCATTTCACAGCTGTGCTCCTGGGCAAGGTGCTCACCGCCCTGAGCCTCAGAGGCCTTTCTACAAGAGGTTGCCGCCAGCCTGTGGACCAAAGAAAGCCCTGAGAAGGAGAAGGCCACACTCTGGAAGCAGAAAAAAATGTGCACCAATCCCCGCCGTAGAGCATCTAGCCCTGGGCAGCCAGAGGAGGCAGAAGGCAGTCAGAACATTGGCAATGCCAGACCATATGATGGTCTTGCAGGCCCAGGCCCAGAGGCAGTCAGCCCCTTCTGGAAATAGAGGGCTGAGACCTGGTTGTTGAAAAGGGCCCCCACCAAAGATACCAGAGCCAGGAACAACGTGTTAAAGTCAGACCCAGTGAAGTCAGAGAAATGGGTCTGCAGCCCTCCTCAGTCATATGCCTTCTAACCACTCAGATCCAAGCACTGTCTAGGCCTGTCCGCTCTGCTAAAATTTTTCTTCCCAGAGCCACGACCCAGAAGGTCACTCTGGCTTCCAAACCGTTTGATAAGTGTGTTGGAAAACATTCATCTGTCATCTGTGCTCAGCAAGGAGAGGCCAGAGGGTAGTCCCCACCTTGTCTTTATCTGTTCATTGCTGTAACATTTTCTTTATACCCATGTATTCACACATGTAAATAAGTATATCTAACCCTTAAATAGAACTTGTCATATGCCAGGCATAGTTCTAAGTGCTCTGTGTGTATTCATTCATTTAGTCCTGACAAAAATCTGATAAAAAAAAAAAAGTGGTAATCCACTTTACAGGTGAGGAAACTGAGGCATGGGATGTCAAGTAATTTGCTCCAGGAAGTCTGGTACAAGAATCTGGCTGTCTTAACCATAAAGCTATGAAGCCATCAAATACATACATACATAAGTTGAGATTTTATATACACATGTATATACATTTTTATGTAATTCCATAAATATGATCATATACATCTTTTAATGTGCTCTTGAACGTTCCTTTTATATTTTTTCTCCCCCCCCATGGAACCCATGTTATCACTTAATGTTTGATCTTCTAGATTTTTTATTATTCACAATTATACATGGACTTCTATATACTGATACCTACAATCACATATACAGGGTTCCTTTTGTCATTATTTTAAGAGAGCAGATCATATTAAATAAATATTTCTGCATCTTTCTTTTCTTACCAGGAAGCCCCTGGCAGATTTAATGCACCATTTTTAACAGCCACACATCAGTCCACACACCAACTCTCTGCCTGGTCCTCTCTGCTCATGCTGCTCTTCTAGACTCCCCCTTCCCCCCCCCCCCCCCCCCCCCCCCCCCCCCGCTACCCATCTCCATGTGCTTGTTTCTTTATTCCATTAGGAGTTTGATGGTGGACATTCTAGGCCAGGTGAGAGGAAAGGACGGTGAGGAGACAGCCAGGTGATGTTTCTGGCTGGGTCTTGCCTTACCCTCGGCTCTTGCTAGGGGCCAGCAGCCCTCAGCCCCCAGAGGCAGGAATGCTGACTTGACTGTGTTATTGTGAAATCATTTGTATATTGTGAAGTGCTTTGCATATGATTAAGTGATTTGCATACCGGGTGGGGGGTGGCATCTTTGACACCCCAGAGCAGCGTCCCTGAGTGTCTTCCTCCCTTTGCAAAGAAATCAACGCAGGGCTTCCACTTCAGAACTCGGACAGGCGCAGGAGGGCGCCTCTGGGCTTGGTGTGGTGACAGACAAGGGGCTTTCAGGGGAAAGCAGATCCCACCTGGAAGCAGTGGAGGTCTAAGAAGGGCGGACACTGGAGTGTGAAGTCAAACAGCACCAGGTGCAGTATGAGTCGTGCGCCCTCAGAGCCCCCAGTAGGCGAGAGCAACACAGGACAGGTGAAGGGGACGACCACGGGTGACGCATGAGGGTCAGAGGCTTGGAGACCCCGACCCTGTTGCAACCCCTGCCCGAGTGAGAACCCGCGTGCCCCATCCTGAATATTATACAGTCTTGGCTGATTCCCAGATAAAGTTGCAATGTGGAGCCTCCGAGCCAGACTCCCACCCCCCAGGAGCCCACATGCTCTGGGCTCAGGGACACCCAGGTTAAAACCTGGCTTTGCCATCTGTGCCACCGTGTGACAGGTGGCTGACAGGACCCACCTCATTGGGGCAGAATGAGGATTCAGTGAGAAAATGCAGATGGAGTGAATGGCGCGTAATAGTGTCCAGTAAACTGTAGATATAATAATGCTATTTATTGTTTGCTGCCCTAGTCTGAGGGCAGGCCTACCTTCCTCTAGGTGAGGGAAACACAAAAGGGAGCTACCCCAGGTTTGGGGTTCCAAGCCACCATGCATTGGACCCCAAAGGGTTACAAGCCCTGAAGACAAAGGCCTGAGGTTCCCAGTGAAAAACCAAAGCATAAAAATAATTCGATGAGTAAGAATAAAATTCCCTCTTCTGAGGTTCCCGAGGCTAGGCCCCTCCCTGCGGCAGGCACTTCCCCTTTCCCTTGCGCATGGAGGAGCCAGGCCGGTTTGACTCAGAGCAGGACGAAGCCGGGCACCCACCCCGACCCCGGCCGGGCTCCGGGCTGCGAGGGCTGGCAGCGGAGCGCGCCCTCGTGCGGCCGCGGGCGACACTGCGGCCCGAGAGAGGAAGCGGCGGCCAAACCCGCAAGCCCGGCCACCCAGCAGCTCGCGGTCCCTGCGGGGCCGCCCTCTCCGCCCCGCCCAGCGGGGGCTGAGCGCCCTGCTCCTGGGGCTCCCACTTCCGCTAGGCCGTCCCCGCCGCCCCGGATCCTCCCGAGCGGAAGTGCGCCTGGGCCTCCCGGGTCCCCCACGGCCGCGAGGCGGAAGCGCGCCGCAACTGCCGTTCCCCCAGACCCCGCGGCGCGCGGCGCGTCGAGTTCCGGACAGGTCCCGTGTGACGTGGCCGCGCGCCGGGGGCGGCTCCGGGCTGGGGGCCGGGCGGCCGGACCGGGCGGGGCAGACCCGGGGCGGGGCGCGGCGCCGCAGCTGGATGGCTGGGGCCGCCCGGAGCGCCGCCGCCGCCGCACGGTGAGTGATCGCCCGACCCTCGGGGCTCGCGCCACCCACCCCCCACCCCGGCCCCGACCCCGACCCCGCGGGTCCTGGACAGACCCGGGCCTCTGGCGCAGAGCCTGGGAGTTCAACTTCCTTGGGCTTCTCTTCTCCCCTGTCGCCCTGCACGTCGCTGCCCATCGCTCCCTCGCCGCCCGTCGCTCCCTCGCTTTCCTCCTCCGTGTCCGTGTCCCAGTCTCTCTGGCTGTCTCTCTCCTTTCTCTTGCCTTCTCCTTTCCCTCTGCTCTCTGGCTCTCCATCCCCCGTTCCCCTCTGCCTAGACTGTGGTCCCCTCACCTCTGCGTGCCCTGCCGTGGCCTCCAAGTCCGGCCTGGCCCAATCTGCCTTTGGTCCCCGCGGAGCCCTGCGGCTTTCCTCAGAGGCTCCCGTGAGGGCCTGGAGGTCCTGGACGCGGGCATCTTTCCCGCCTGCCCACCTCCATCAGGGGATGAGGAAACTGAGGCAGGGACATCGCCAGCTCAAGGTCACGGCCCGATGAGGCAGGGCAGACCGCATTTAAACCTCATGCCTGAGTTTCCAGACTGAACTTCTCTCTTAGTTGACTCATGTCCACATCCTGTGATCCAGTGGCTGGGACCCTTCCTGCTGCCCGGTGCCCCAGGTCTCCTGCAATATAAGGAGGGCTCTCTCTGCCTCCTCCGTGCCAGGCACGTTCACCTGCGTTAGAAAGCTCCTCGTCTTCACAGCCTGTGCGGAAGCCAGTTCTCTCATCCTACAGAGGAGGAAACTGAGGCTCAGAGAGGTGCTTCGGGGACTTGCCCACACTCCAAAAGCCATAGCTGCAGAGCACACAACGTAGGGCAGGTCTCCAAAGCCTGTGCGCTGCACAGCTGTGAGGCAGCTCCTAACCGAAGGATCTTCTTTCTCTTCAGCCCCACGAACTGTCCGTCTCTGTGCCCTGGGGACAATGTGGGCTCGTTGCCTAGGAAGAGGCTCCAATGGCTCTGTCCCGGCTCAGCTGCTTGCTCTCCCCACCTGCACCTCCCAGTGTTGCCCATTAGGCTAGATGGTGCCAGCTTCGGTTCCCTGGGGTGTCCTCCCTGGGGCATGTACTGGCGGCCGGGGCCTCCCCTGGCAGCTAGAGACACCCGACTGGGCTGGGCCTGCCGGTGGCTGAAGGGAACCCAGCCAGCGCCTCACCCCTGTCATTAGGGAAAGTTTAGCCCCAGGCAGACATGCTGACACACAGTCTGGAGCTGGCTCCGAAGGAAAAAATGTGTGGTCCTTGGGAGTGGGTGTGGAGGAGCAGAGCCCCTTTGCCCTGTGCACCCACCACTGGGACCTCCGAAGCCCTGGGCAAGGCAAGCAGGAGAGGGCATGCCGTGGCCACTTGTAGGGAGGAGGGTCAGGATGCCACGTGTGCTCATCAGGTGGGCGGCCAAGTGTGGCAGCTCACGTAGGAGGCCTTTGTGTTTTTCAGCACGTGGCATGCCTGGATGTCCCTGCCCTGGCTGCGGCATGGCGGGCCAAAGGCTCCTCTTCTTCACTGCTCTTGCCCTAGAGCTCCTGGGAGGGGCTGGGGGTTCCCAGCAGACCCTGCGGAGCCGGGGGCCTGCAGCCGCCTGTCGCCTAGACAACAAGGAAAGCGAGTCCTGGGGGGCCCTGCTGAGTGGGGAGAGGCTGGACACCTGGATCTGCTCCCTCCTGGGCTCACTCATGGTGGGGCTCAGTGGGGTCTTCCCCCTGCTCGTGATTCCCTTGGAGATGGGGACTACGCTGCGCTCGGAAGGTAGGTGACCCTCCCCAGGGGCCCGGGGCAGCCGGCAGCATGGACAGCATCGCTGCTCTCCCTGGTGGAACGGGGTCTCCCGTCCCAGCTTACAGTGTGTCTGAGGTGGAGGGCGGGGACACATGCAACTTCTCACCTTGGTCCTGTGAGACCAGGGTGTGCCGTGCTCTTTCTTCCGTTCATTTGTGCCTTTGTTTATTCTGCAAGAATCAAAGTCAGCAAACATTTGCCGAGAAACTGTATAGACACTGTTTGGAAATATAAGTGCCAGGCTGCTTGGGTTCAACACCTGGCTCTGCCATTTGCCAGCTGGGTGGCATCGGGCAAGTTACTTAACTTCAGGCTCAAGCTCCCGACCCTAAAAATGGGCATAATACAGGGGACCTGGGTGGCTCAGTCGGTTAAGCCTCCGACTCTTGGTTCCTGCTCAGGTCATGATCTCACAGATCGTGGGTTCGAGCCCTGCGTCCAGCTCTGTCCTGACAGTGTGGAGCCTGTTTGGGATTCTCTCTCTCCTTTTGTCTCTGCCCCTCCCGTGCTCACTCTTTCTCTCTTTCTCTCAAAATAAATAAACTTGAAAACTATTTTTTTAAACGGGCATAATACTAGTATGTACCTCATAGGTACTGCTGTGAAGATGAAATGAGCTAATATCCATAAATCACTTAGAAGGCTGCCTAGTGCAGGGGAAAGGGCAGCGTGGTCACAGGCCTTTGCTGGCTACAGGGATGCGGTGCCTCTCCCTTCTGTCTCTGCTCATAGTGCAAAAGAGCCCTCCTACCAAGCACCTCTGGGTCAGCCTTATCCAGGTAGCCAGCCTGCCTCTTGGGAGGGCATCTGGGAGGCGGGGCACCAGCATGGGCGGAGGCTGCCCTTTTGTGCCAGGTACATGTATTGTTCACAGATGACATGTTGTGATGAAAACTAAAGAGACTAGCTGCTAAAAATGTAGGTGCCTGCTGCCCCACCCAGGAGTGCAACGTACTTGGTCTGGACCAGACTCCTGGAATCTGTTTGAAATGCGTATTCCAGGGGTTTCTGCCGCTTGCTAGGCTCAGGAACTGTTCATTCAGCAGATGGTTGTGAGCACATCTGTGCTCCGTGCCAGGCTCAGGGCTGGTGCTGCAGCTGGGAATGGAGCCGACGTGGGGCCTGTGCCTGTGCCTCCTCTCAGCCCCTCTTACCGTGTCCCCGCGAGAACAGCATAGGGAGGACCTGGATTATTAGCCCCATTTCACAAATGGGGAAGCACAGGCACAGAGGCGTTCTTTGATCGGCTGAGGTCACACAGCCTAGAAGCGGCAGCTTTTCCTGGGATCCCACCTGATCACCAAGCTGCCTCTCTGCTCTACAAACCAAGAGTTTGAACATAGCCTTCTTAGGGCATGTCCAACTCTGGAGGTTGCGAGTCTGCAAAAGTCCCCAGATCTCTGCCACTTTTCAGAGAGTAACAGTAGCTGTGAAGAGAAAAATTCCCACTTAAAAGAGCACTTGCTATGTGTGTTGTCATTTAATTCCCCCAAGATCCCTATCAGATATAATTATCCCCAGTTTACAGATGGGGAAACCGAATCCCAGAAAGTACCTGCCCAAGGTCACCAGCTAGTGGGTTGGGGAGCTGGGACCCTTTGGGCTCCCAAGGCCAGTCTCCTAACTGTGAAGTGCTAGCAGCTCCGCAGTCATCCAGCAGGTCGTGATGTATTTCCTGCTCAGCACCCAGCCAGTGCTGGGCCTGGGCGGGGAGGGGAGGGCTAGGGGGGAGAGGGGGATCCAGGAAGTACAGGAGGCCAAGTCCAGTCTTCTGGAGGCTTGCAGTCTGGTTGGAAAAACACAGCGCCCAGTAAGCTGGGTGGGGCAGAGGTCAGGCCAGGGGCTCTGGTAGGTCAGCCCCAGGCCTCGCGTCTCTTTTGTAGCTGGGGCCCGACGTCTGAAGCAGCTGCTCAGCTTTGCCTTGGGGGGACTTTTGGGCAATGTGTTTCTCCACCTGCTGCCTGAGGCGTGGGCCTACACATGCAGTGCCAGCCCTGGTGAGTGAGGCCACAGTTTTGGGGCAGGAGGGCAGAGGGAGCTTTGTGCTGAAGATTGAGGGGTTCTGCTCTGCCAGAATGACTGGGAGAGGGGTTCTGGACGTCTGGCAGGGAACTTGTCTTGGTCCTGCTACCCGGGCCCCTGTGGGAGTCCCTGGGGCCCAACTTCCCCACCAGCCATTCCTGTCACTGCCCCTGACTAGGTCCCATTCCAAATGGCCCCCCTTCTGTGGCCCTGGCGTGGCCTGGCCTGTCAGTGCTGCCCCCTGCAGGTGGTGAGGGGCAGAGCCTGCAGCAGCAACAGCAACTGGGACTGTGGGTCATTGCTGGCTTCCTGACCTTTCTGGCATTGGAGAAGATGTTCCTGGACAGCAAAGAGAAGGAGGGGACCAGCCAGGTGAGCTCCAAATCCCAGGGTCCAGACAGGCTGGCCTCTAACCTATAGTGGTTTCAGGGCCTGGAGCCCCAGGTTCTGAGTTGAACCCTGAAAAGTGCGTCTCTTGGCCATTCCCTGGGGGCTCTGGGAGGCTGGACCAACTGGGAAGATCTGGGGAGTGACGACATTGGCCCTGCTGTGGCTTGTTCTCATAGACTGATGGTGACAGCCGTGTGGGAGGCGGAGGATCAGTTGGCTCTGGGGGCACACAGCTGATTGAGCAGCAGAGAAGTCTAGCTAGACAATAGCCTTTATTTCTCCATCTCTCACCCCTTTCCTGTGTCTACCCTGGCCAAGTGGGGGAGCATCTAATGTCACCTCTCCCTCCTTCTCCTGGCCCTAGGCCCCCAGCAAAGACCCTGCCGCTGCTGCCGTGCTCAATGGAGGCCGCTATCTGGCCCAGCCGGCTGCAGAGCCCGGCGTGAGCGCCGCGGTCCGGACCATCAAAGTGAGTGGCCCACTCAGGGTCCCCTCTCCCCACAAGTGGCAGGCCCAGCTGAGCCCTGCCCACCCGGGTCAGCCTGGCTTCCTCTCCCCTCATGCAGGTCAGTGGCTATCTCAACCTTCTCGCCAACACCATAGACAACTTCACTCATGGGCTGGCCGTAGCTGCCAGCTTCCTTGTGAGCAAGAAGGTGAGTGGGGGCTGCACCAGAGGGGACCCAGGCATTTCTGGGGGGAATGATGGTGTCTGTGTGGATCAGCTGGCTCCACCTCTAAAATAGGCTTCCTGTTTCTGCCCTTCCCACTCCCTCCACCACCCCCACACCCCCATCCAAGCCCTGAGGGCTCCTGCACGTGGCCGCCTTCTGTCCCGAGCCACTGGTCTGTTCTGGTTACAAACATTACTTTCTGGGATCACATTACCTCTGCCAGGCTGCTAAGCTTGGGCCCTGCCTGCTTCTAGATGCTTCTCACCCACTTCCGCACTGTCCTCTGAGCTCTGACATTAGTGGTCCGCCTACTCGAACTGGCCGAGCTCTTCCCGGCTCATGGCCTCCACCTCACACTATTCTGTCTGCCTGGAATGTTCTTCCTCCCACTCTTTTAAACGCTGGCTTCTTATCCTTCAGGCTTCAGCTTAAATGCACTTCCTTGAAGAGGCCTTTGCTGACCCCTCATCTAAATTAGGCCCCTATCACTCGTGTCTATGACACCCAGTCCATGTCTTCTCCCGCACTACCTGTCACTGTGTAATCATGCAGTTCTTTGTGTGTTCAGTCCTTGCCTCCTGCTTCGTGAAGGCAGGTTCCTTGTGTGTTGTATTCATTGCTGTATTTCTAGTAGCCAAATCGTCTCCAGCCAGAGCACTCAGCAGAGTAAATATTTGTAGAACGAGTTGACAAGTGGGTGCCTGGCCCTTGGCCCAGAACCCCACAGACTCTTTCCCTGCAGATTGGGCTCCTGACCACCATGGCCATCCTTCTGCATGAGATCCCCCATGAGGTGTGTGCTGGAGGGTCTTCATGGCGGCAGTGTGGGTGTGGGGCTTCAGACAGGGGTGGGCTGGGAAGCCCAGCAGTAGCAGCCTTGGGGGCTGGACCTCAGGGCCTGGAGCTGCTCAGCCCACCAGGCTGCAGCCTCCATCCCAGCTGGGCTCCAGCCTGCTGGGGACGGGGGTCCCACCTTAGGGTATGCGGGCTGGGGGGGGGGGCAGCAAGGCCTGTGCTGGGGGCTCCGTGTTCTTGTCCGTACCTGACCCTTGGGGCCCAGAGTAATCATCTGGACCTCCCCTCAGGTGGGCGACTTTGCCATCCTGCTCCGGGCCGGCTTTGACCGATGGAGCGCAGCCAAGCTGCAGCTCTCGACGGCACTGGGGGGCCTGCTGGGCGCCTGCTTCGCCATCTGTACGCAGTCCCCCAAGGGAGTAGGTACGGGCATGGTGGGTGGGGGCGGCAGGTGGCGGTCAGTGGAGGGGCCCCGGCCAGAGGGCACAGCTGCCCCGCCCCCGCGTGCAGGCCAGGATCTGCCCGCAGTCTACCCTATGGGAGTGGGTGCGGTGCACGGGGCCACCCTGGGCTCCTAGCCAGTCAGGACTTCTCCCGCCGCAGAGGAGACCGTGGCCTGGATCCTGCCCTTCACCTCTGGTGGCTTTCTCTACATCGCCCTGGTGAACGTGCTGCCGGACCTCTTGGAGGAAGATGACCCGTGGTGAGTGACCCTCCCCACCGTCACTCACAGGACCCCTGTAGGGGAGTGGGGGGGGGGGGAGGCGGAGGGTTTCTGGGCCCCGCCCCTTCCTCAGCCAGTGCCCCGCCCTGAGCCCCACCCCTCTCCCCACAGGCGCTCCCTGCAGCAAGTGCTGCTGCTCTGCACTGGCATCGTAGTGATGGTGCTGTTCTCGCTTTTCGTGGAGTGACCGTCCCTCATGCCCCCCACCCAGCAATAAGAGACTCGGATTCACCCTGTGACAGTGTGTGAGGCAGAGGCCAGGTGCCGAGAGAACACACCTCTGACCAGATGAGAGGATGGTGTGTGTGCGCGCATGTGCACACGTATGACCAGTTATGTGTGAGACCGACACTGTGATCATGCGCTGGGCCCAGGGCCCGACGCCCGCACTGGCCCCCAGCCACGCCATGGCCTTCCCTCCTGACCACCCTGTCACCCCACACTTCCCACAGTGAGCAGGGAGGACGCACTGGTCCCAGGCGGAGGCCTCTCCCCACCGGACTGCAGAGGGAGTGACTGGCTGCTCTTAAGGGAGCTCAAGGCCGCAGGGGGCCCAAAGCTGTCTCCCTCTGGGCCTTGAGGTCCCTGATACCTGCTCAGGCGCCAAGCCCTGGGCAGCCGAGGGGCGGAGGCTGGGGCACCTTCTCTCTGCTGTGTCCATTGTCCCCGCCCTTCCTTTGCCATCTCTAAGGCCAAAGAAAGGAGAAGCAGGTGCTTGTGTAGCCCCCTCGCCCCACTCGGCACTGACAGTCCTACCCCGCCTAGGATGGGGCCTGCCTTCCAAGGCCTCCTCCATGGCTGCTAGCCCCGGGCCGGCTCCTGCTCCCCCTGTGAGCTCTCCCCGGCAGCGCCAGCCGCTTTTGCCACCTTCAGCTGCCAAACAGCAGCCCGCAGGGCAGAGAGCAGCCCTGGGCCAGAGAGGCCTCTGAGGCCAGCTCAGGGGAGCTCGCGCCAGCACAGGGCCCAGGCGGAGGTCCTGGGGGCAGGAAGAGTGCTCAGCGGCTGCCCCTCCTACCCCCCCCCCACCCCCAGGCCTTTTCTGTCCCACGTAGGCTGAGGGGGAGTAGGGGGTGGTGCGGCTCCACATTGTCAGCACTCAGGAATGTGCTCCGGGAGAATGCTGAAGCCATAATCCCCAGCTATTTCCCTTGGCTGACACCCAGGTACTCAGCTGGCCCGCTCCACAGCAGCCCTGCTGCTCAGCCACGGACGTTCTGAGAAGCGGCCAAGAGGGTCTGAATGGTTTTACAGCCGTTTTGCTGTGGTTCCGTTTCTATGTGTAAATACTTATTCTATAGATAAGATGCAAATAAATAATTATATACAAACTGGCTGCCTCTCTTCTGCACACCAGAGTCCACAGTCAGGCAGGGCTTTCCCAGTGCCCCTTGCTCCAGCCAGCTCAGCATCTTACCCTTCTCCCCCCACCTCCAGCTGTTCTGCTTCATGCTCGTCTCTGAACTAGTACCCTTGCAGTGCTTTTTAGAACACGGTATAGCCTTTCATGCTGTCCCTGGCTTGTTAGCTTTTCATCCCAACACTACAAGCCTGGCCCTACACCGTGTAGCCAGCGTCATCCCCAAGGGTGGTGGTTCTCGTTTTGCAGACCTGGGAGCTAGGGGCTTTTCCCTGGCCTGTTCCCTGAGCAAATTAAAAAGGGAGGTCCAGCCACACAGTCGTCTCAATGAAATTAGCTTTGCCTAATGAAATTAGAAAAGAAAAACTAGAGGATCCTTCCTGTAAGTCACGCATCCTCGCTTCCTGTCTGAATGTAAGGACAGCATCAGGCCCTGGGGGGGGGGGGGTTGCTTCCCCTCAGTGCTCGCCCAAGAAAGCAGAAGGGGGAAATGGAGGGCCACTTTCCTCTCCGCACCAACCAGGGCAACCTTCAGCAGCGGCGTCTGTGCCATCGTGGAGTTGGGCACAGGAGCCGAGAAGCCTGAATTCGGGGCAACCTCAGCCGGGAGCGCCTGACTTGGCCCCAGTAACTTGTCAGCAAAAAGGGAGCTGCCCCACCGGGCTGTGACGCATGAAGGGCCTGGGGGCCCCAGGCCTGGAAGCGCCCAAGAAGGAATCGAGGGCCGTTTGACCAGCCCCCCACCCACCCCTCGGCAGCACTGGGGTCCCTACCTGCGGGTGGCAGGTCCACGCACAATCACCGCACTCAGCCTGCCCAGAGAGGCAGCTGGGCCTCCTTTATAGATGCGGAAGCGAGCGGGGTGGGAGGGGGTGCCTGAGTTCACTACAGTGCCGCAGGGTGAATGCCCTGACTAGTTAGAAGAGGGGGCAGAGAGCGCCGAAGCAACAGGCTGAGTCCAGGGCGGGACAGAAACCAAAACTCTGAGAGCCTGTGCCTGGAGCACCTCAGGCAGGGGGTGAAGTCAGTGGGGCTGCCAGGCGGAGCGCCGCCGTGAGCACCAGCACTCCAGAAGGCAGTGTGGAAGCCTTGGGACACCAGGGTTAGGAAGCTAGCAGGAAGCCAAGCCCTTCAGATAGGCCAGCTCAGTGAGCAGCCCGCCGTGGGCATGCCCCGCCCCTGCTCCGGGGGCTGCGGGGGGAGAGGACCAGAAACAACAGGACAGGCGCCTGGTGCAGAGGGAGGCTGGCGGCAGAAGTGAGGGCTCGGGGAGAACACCAGAACCGGAGGTTAGGCCTAGAAGGGCTCTCAATGCTCTTATTCAAGGTTCATTTTTCATCAAGAAAAAATGGGCCACAAGAGCTAATGGGAACATGTGGAGGAACAGGAGGCTCGGGGGCCAGGAGATGGAGCATTTTCTAGGAAAAACACCTGGAGCCTGGCTTTACCTGGAAGTGGGGACGATAGCACCAAAATGTGAAAGGGGAAAGGCTGGCTTCTATTCAGGACCCTCGTCCTGGAGCTGCGGGGCGCCAATCTCTAGAGCTGAGAGGCGAAGCAGGGAGTGGGAACGGGATCAGGAGGGACATGGTGGGGGTGGGGGGCCGGAAGGCTCCAGGCAGCTGGTGCAGTGTGAGCCCGTCCAGAGGGCCTTGCGTCACAAGTGGTGTGAGGCCCACAGTGGTCTCGGGTTTCCAGGCAGCAGCACGTGGGGAAGAAGCCTCGAGCACATGCTCCACCGTTCCACCAAGCCCGGGAAGGGAAAACAGACAGGCGGCCGGGACCTGAAGCCCTCCTTTATTACGAACTGTAAGCAGCGTGAGACCAGGGAGCAGGTGAGGCAGGCAGCCCCCTAGGCGTAGTACTGCAGGTTGGCTTTCTTCTTGGCCTGCACCTCCAGGATCCCCTCCATGTAGTCCTCGTGCGTGAGCTCCGTGGCGCCCCTGCGCAGTGCGATCATGCCCTGCACCCAGGACACACAGGCTCTAGGGTGCCTTCCCACACCCCTGGCCCGGCTCTGAGGCCTCAGCCTTCTGAGCCCCTTCCCCCCAGCAGTCTCCACCAAACACCCTGTCCTGTTCAGGGAAGGGGGCAAGAAGGCATGAAGTAACCCGCTCCCGCACCCCAGCACTCACCGCCTCCACACACACGGCCTTGCACTGGGCCCCATTGAAGTCATCCGTACAGCGGGCCAGCTCCTCATAGTTCACATCAGGACTGGGGGTGGAGGAGAGATTCCACAGGACTGAGTTACTTATGGTGAGGGGTGGGAGATGTCCTCCCACACTCGCCAGCAGGCAGCGAGGCCCACTCGCCGGTGACGTCGACAAGTCCCTATCCCACTGTGCCTTGTTCTCTTCTCAGTACAAGACACAGGAGGAAGGAGGGTAGGTCAAAGCAGAGACCAGGTTATTTCTGTGTCGAGCTCTAGCTCTAGTCCCGGAGATTCCAGGGACCGATTCAGCCTGCGGCGGGGGAGCAAGAGGTTGAAGACACAAAGGACGGTCGTCTCCCCCTCTTTCCACAAGGGTCAGCCCCGCCATCAGCACAGCATTGCTTCGGTCTCCTGTGCCAAGCACTTCACTCAGGAAGTGAATGGCAGTGCCATTACCCCCGAATACCAGAGAAGAAAACTCAGGCTTAGACAGGTTGTAGCACCTACTAGAGGTCACACAGATCTAAATCCAAGTCCATCTGGCCCCTGGGTGGATTCCCTCGAGTTACTCTGTGCTGTGCTCAAGCTGTTCAGAGCTGTGCTCATCTGCTGGGGTGGGGGAGTCAAGGAAATAGAGGGCCTCAAGGCTGTGCACCTTCAGATCATGGGGGAGGAGGAGGTGGGGTGACTGTAAGGAACAGAGCACCCAGAACCAGGGCCTGGACCCCAGCAAGATTCTACCTCAGGCTTCAGGGAAGAATGGAAGCCAGCATGTGGAATAGTTCAGTGTGAATAGGGAGGGGAGAAGGTGCAGGTGAAGACCTGAGGACACTCAGTACGAAGACCAGAGAGGCCACTCTGTTGCTGCCCCTCAGGTCTCAGCGCCTGGTTCATGCCCTTGCTCACCTGACGTTCATCTTGCGGGAGTGGATCTGCATGATTCTGGCCCGGGCCTCCTCATTGGGCATCGGGAATTCAATCTTTCGATCCAGACGGCCTGAGCGCAGAAGTGCGGGGTCCAAGATGTCCACCCTGTTGGTGGCTGCAATTACCTAAGCAAGAGAAGCGTCAACTTGAACTGAGGAAGATGGGGCTCCCAGACAGACAACATTCAAAGCCATGACAGGCAGAGAGGCAGCCCAGGGTCCAGATCAGACAGCAAGGGTGTTAAAGACAAATCTCAATTCTAACTCTAGATGCACTAGCTATGTGACTGAAAAGGTCCCCTGCCCTCTAAGCCCTGTTTTCTTCCATCCACGACAATACCCACCTTTACTTGAGTGTTAGGTTGGAATCCATCCAGTTGGTTCAGAAGCTCCAACATTGTCCTCTGTACCTCCCGGTCTCCAGCCTTCTCACTATCAAAGCTGGGGCACACAAGAGGCCCAAGACACCAGTGAGGCCACAACTAACGCATAGCCTTCCCTTCCTCCACCCACAGGAAGCCTAACCCAACCATCCAGGGCAGGGAACTCAACGGGGGGCCCCCAGCCCAGGACTGGCACAAAGAAGGTGTCAGAGACTAGAGAGGCTCTTAGGATCAGCCAGGCTGAGAATAAAACGTGAGCAAAACCAGCCACTGCCCAGGCTATCCACCAACAAATGTGCCACTGCAAACTGAGCTTAAAGCTCTGAAACATGGATCCAGACTTGGAGCATAAGGGAAAACGCAGGCAGGCTTCCTTCAGGAAGTATCCCTCAGGCTGAAAACACACAGGGGAAAAAGTACATTCCACAGAGGAAACTGTAAGTTCAAATCTCTCTCAGCACAGAGCTGGAGTGGGCCCACAAACCTAAAGGATGCTGTGAAGAGGTGGGGGCGGAAGCAGGTCCAGGATGAGGTGGAGAGGAGGAGGGAGAGCCACATAGGGGACTGTGAAGGCCTGGTTAAGTCCAGCATTTCTCCCAAGGAGCAATGCGGGCCCATGGAGGATTTTAAGTAGGATGTTTGTGTGAGGGAGCGGGGTGCTCGTGAGTGAAGCAAGCAGGTATGAAAGGAATATGCTGGCAGCCTTGAGGAGAATGGATGGTCAGGGGAAAAGCAGAAGGGAAGCTAGTTAGAACAGATTTCAGGAAGGAGAACCACAAGAGTAGAGCCGCCACCATTCCAGGGGAAGAAGGGGACAATGTGGGAAACAATTTAGAACAATCTCCTTTGTGGCACCCAGCATCCCCTTACCGCTTAGTGCCGATGGCATCCAGCTCATCAATGAAGATAATGGATGGAGCTTTCTCTTTGGCCAGGGCAAAGGCATCACGGACCAGCTTGGCACCGTCCCCAATGAACATCTGCACCAGCTGGGGGCCAGCCAGCTTCAGGAAGGTAGCCTGGGGAGGTGGCACAGTGATCCGAGTCAGGCCACAGGCACCAAGAGAGGTCTCTCTGGGCCCATTTGGGAATGTTTTAGCTTCTGCCCATTTCTTTCTCATCCCTCCCAAAGCACTCACCTTGGTCTGTGCAGCACAGGCCCGAGCCAGCAGGGTCTTCCCCGTACCTGGGGGTCCATACATCAACACCCCTTTTGGAGGCTGGATCCCCAAGTTCTCAAACTTCTCCTTGTGATTCATTGGCAGGACAATGGCCTCCACCAGCTGCCAAGAGGAAGTCCTGGGTGAGGAGAGTGAAGCCCTGAGGGCTCCTAGAGCCTAACACGTAATGACTTTAACCCCAAACTGCAACCCTCCTACTCCAATTCAGGGACGTTGCTCTCTTCTTCCTCTGAATCAAGAGGATGCAGAATCAGGGCACCTGGGTGGCTCAGTTAAGCGTCCAACTCTTGAGATCAGGTCATGATCTCACAGTTTGTGAGTCGAGC